GTTATAGCCTGCATGCTCGTGTGCAATATGCTTGCTGTGCGTGCATGCATTTTCTTGCTGTGATACGGCCAGTCCATTCGAAGCCATTAGCGGCACTACTTGTCGCACAATATGTGTACTGCAGCAAGTGCAATGACAACCACGGTTGCTACTTACTCGCGTCCTTCTCTTATTCCGAAATCCCATCAGTTCCTCTTTGCATGTGTCAGTGGGTGAACCAGTGACTTCCTGTGTTGTGAACGTGTGCCACTTCTGTGAGCCCAGTTCAAGGCGGCCCTCTCTTCCCAAACCTTCATCCTGCACCTCTCTTCTGCTCTCTCACCGTAGATCGACAAGTGTTCAACACCCTCGGAAGCATTCCGGCCGTTCTGAACTTCCTAGAGTCCCACTATGGAATCAGCTAGACGTGAAGCCGCGGATTCAGCATACCCATAAAGTTTATATTTGACATATTCATTGCTATTTATAAGGTTGAGGGAGTTGAAAATGGCATCATTGCTCCCAGTATACCCTGTGGAAAACGTGTGTGATTTTTTCGCACGTTAGCGTTCAAGTCAACCTGCGAAAACTGAGTCCGCAGCACTTTCCTCATGCCTAACGAACGGCTTGACTGGCACATGGTACTTGAAGTAAGTGCTGAGTGAGCATGATGATTTGCTTATTTATTGATCGGCGTATCTTATAATTCATCAAGCACGCCTGTGTTTGGTAATATCTCAGAAGAAATCGAAGCTATCAAATCATGGAAAATCATTCTCCATATTCGCATTCAATCAATATTAATCACCCTGTCCTCTTGGGCTCGTCTAGTCTAATGATTGAAACCTGGAAGTAACTTATTCACTCATCCACTATAGTTATCACGTTTAACATGGTGGATCTCAAGTAACTTGCTCAATAAAACATGTTGAAGTATCCGCGAGTCAAACATTTTGCGTTGGTGTCTCTCTCACTATACGTCACTGTATATCATTGTACATCACTATACGTCACTGTATACCATGATGCACTGTACATCACTGTACATCAGTGGTGTTGACGGCGTAGAGGTTCGTATGTGGATGCTGCAATCTGGCTGGGCAGAATGTCTAGATAGTCGCTGGCATCGGGACTGTTGCCTGCGTTCTGTCCGGTGTTGCTACTTGCTCTGCTCTGTGTGTTGACTCCTTGATAGCCACCCTGCTGTGCGCTGACTCCTTGATAGACACTCCGCTGCTGTGCATGTTGCTGCCGACCCATTGGTCTAGCAGCACCCGCCCCAACACTCGCACCGCTACCACTGCTCCTATTCTTCTTCTTCTTCTTCTCGTTCAATGCTTCGTAATCTGCCTGGTCGCGTGCTTGAGAATTAGTCAGCAGGCCGACAGCGGTCAGCGATGTGTCATTCATGCCCTCTGGAATTGCGCCACGCATCAAGGTTGGATCCCGTACGTACGTGTTCTGACGATGCACGAGCAGGGACTGCTCCGCTGCTGCCGAGTCCCTACCGGTGGTGCCTTTTCCTCCGTTGTCGAATTCACTCTCGACCTCGTACAGGCTTTCCTGCCGTTTCAGCATCTGGTTATTCTTTGCAGGCTGTGCAGCGTCCGTGTCGTTGTCGTCATCCACTTCATAGATGTTGTCGCCGACGTCTTCGCTCACAAGTACTGCCCCGCTGGACGCACTGGTCTGCCGCGGAATTGTGCTGTTTGTGTACGCCGACTCGATGCTGACGTAGCACTGCTCAGTCGCTCCAGAGTATTGCGCCCGCACGTATCGGTCGGCGTTGCTGCCCGCTTCGCGTGTAATACTGCTACTGCTGTACCTTGGGTTCGGGCTCATGTCCTGATAAGTAGCAACACAATGGCGAACAACAACAACAAAGGAAGAAACACAGGCAGCAGCAGTGGCATCAGCAACAGCAAGAGCACAGGCAGCAGCACAGGCCAATCTGAAGGTGTATGCAAAAGTGTGCTTTGTAACATCCTACTTTAAAAGTACTGTACAGCCTCCTCTCTGCTCATGTATCCAGATAATGAGCACCCTACTTCTGCAGTGCTGTGATCAAGCTCATTTCCGTGTGATAGCAGTACGCAGTGTTGTTCAATGGAATCGGTCGGGCCTTGTGACGTAGTAACTGCTGTCGGCTGGTGCTGTGCTGCCCTGGCCCAGGAGACACTGGGCTATGCAGTACGCACCTCACATCTTGTGCTTCGCTTGTACGGTGCTCCGATTGGGGAAAATCAGCAAAACCCTCGAATCCGATCCGGATAATCGATCATCCAGATAGTTGACGTGCGGATAATCGGCATTCCACTGTAATAAGTCCATTGCGCAATGACGTAATTTGTACCATAAACACCCCAGACAGCCACCTGGGCATGGTCGTCTGGGGTGTTGAACGTGTTGAACAGTGCATTCCTGATCCCAGTGTACTCACATGCATTATTCATGCCCTCCATATTTGGCAATGCGCAATGGGCTTATACTCAGCGTAAACCTACTTGTACTCACCTGCAAGGAATGGGCATCATCAAACATGTAGTTGACATGCAACTCGGCTCTCTTCACAGAGTACGACCTGTGACGCCTGTGCCACACATCAAGCAAAGCAGTCCAGCAAGTGTGAGAGAGAGAGAGAGAGTGAGACTGGTTTTAGCTGGGCGTTTCAGATATTGTTTCGTTGCGGCCAACAGAATTTGGACCAAACAATGAGCCTACGGTCTGCACACAGCAGCTGGTTTGTTTGAAAAGCTAGCTTTAAGTGCAGGTCACCATCACTGGAACATAGCCCCAAGGATGTGCAACTGCTGTCCCAGTGTACAGTCAATCCAGTGAAAACAACCTCGGGTATAACAACTTGCGAATAACACACTCTCTTCAGACCTAGTGATCACGTGACTGCATACTTTCAACCTCACCAGTATTAAAACTCGCCAATAACAGCATTTTTCTCATGCACGATCGTGGCTCGTTATTCGCAAGGTTGACTGTGTTCTCAATTCCGTAAGTACAGTGTACATGCAGCGGAAATAGTATTGCCTCCACGCCTACACTCACCGTCGACAGGCGATTAGAACAATAGTGCCAATGATCAGCAGTCCGCCACCGCCGCAAGCTGCAATTATGATGATGGTCTGCGTGTCCAACACTCCGCCTAACGTTGCAGTCACAAGCACAACAGCAACAAGAACTACGTGTTTGCTTCACAAGACGACGTCGGATGGTGCCTTTTCTATGGCCCAGTAGCAGTAAAAATACTAGTGATGTAACGAATGGTGTTTTCTTCGAACGAATATTCTCTCGAATATTGCTTTGACGAACGAACGAATATTCTATATTCTTGTGATGTGCGTCGACCACTTCACTCCATCAGGCCCAACATTCATGTTGCATACAGATCACATTTCCACTGGTTACAGAGCGGATTTCACCCAAACAAGCTTCACGGTACTCAGAAAATAATTTCGATACTGTCATCCTCAATACTGTTCACGAGATGAAGGTTGGAGCTAAATAACAAAACCAAAAAGTGTCAATTTTTCGAATTTTCGAATATCGAATAATGCTGCCTGCATTCGAATATTCTTTCTGGTGTTGGTATTCTAGAATATTCGAATAATTCGAATATTCCTTACATCACTAAAAAAATACCATCTGCATCTATACAGTGTAGTTTAGGGCATGTTTCATCTGAGTTCAACATGTACAGCCTTCAGTCAGGTACATGTATGCTTTCAATGACTATGAATCGTTTATCTTTGTGCCTTGACATGCACCTTGGCATTGCCTGTAAAGGAGACCGTTCTTCACTTACGTATACATACCTGATTGGTTGTCTTCACTTACGTATACATACCTGATTGATTGTTGGGCGGTGGTAAACCAGCGGTTGCGTCGCTGCCAGGCGACGCAACAGAGCTTGTACCTGTAGGGCCTTGCTGGGTTGGTGCTTGTCTCGTCGTTCCAGTCAAGTCTTGTGATTGTGAATGGCTGGTTACGACTAGTCCCGGCATGGAGGATGCCAGCGAGGTGCTGGTGATGTTCTGAATCTCTTCTACAGTACAGGTGCAATCAGTGCGGCAGAGAGCAAAACATGCCAGTTACAAACTCAACATTCCACCATCACAACTATTGTGGGTCTATTGAAGCGTACTCCTGCATATCCAGTACTTCATACTACATGTACTACATGTACTTCGTATGTGCTACTGCATGTGCGAAGGATGGATTCGGAATGGCCCACGTCATTGCTAGTATCAGACCGACCTTATCCAAACCGACTTTTAAATAAATGAAGTAGAAACAGAGTGCAACATCATAGCTACTAGTACAGTATTGACGAAGAAAACAACCTCTATTCTATTCCAGTTTTTGCCATGGAACACTGCTATGTATGCCATAGTCACATGGTGTGCAGACGTAAGAAATCAGCTCAAAGAACAGCTGGTTCTGCCGGCTGTCACTCTGAGAGAAGCACTAGCTAACTCTAAAAAAACGTACAGCTGCACTGCTCATTGTGCAACCAGGGAGTGGAGTATTTTATTACCGTATTTTCCGGAGTATAAGCCAAACCCAGATTCTTGTCACGAAATATAGACATTTACTAGTACCCTGTTTATCACCATAACTTTGACCGTAGTGGTATAAAGCCGTAGCAACTTTTTTTGGATGAATTATTACTGGTGTTTGAAGTGCGGTTTATACTCCAGAAAACATGGTACTCCCTGGTGCAACTGACCTTGGCAGACTGGTGTTGGTGCACTCCAGCTCGCGTTGGCCATGCAGTGCAGCTGACCTTGTCCTTCCAGAACAAAGCCCAGGTTGCATTGGTAGTCGACCGTTGAGTTGAAGGTGAACGTGGAGCCGATGCGAATGCCGTCCAGTGGTCGGCCAGGGTCCGGGCAGGTCACCGCTGTTCACAAGTCAAGCACATACACATACACATACATGTACCACATACCACGTACCACGAAACTCTGAGTAACGGCAGAAGAAGACTTGGTTGTGTCATTGCTGAGTGATTAGTGTACCATATACCAATCTGCAAAGAAATCTATTGCACGTACAGTTGTGGCCGAAGAAATCCGACCCACGAGTCAAAAAGTAGCGCTGCGTTTCCATTTCAATTACATCATGCACGTTCCCAAAACTGATCCGAGGGCTTCAGGGGCCGCATGAGCCTTGGCGCTGCTTTCGGCATGTGGGTTGGATTTCTTTGGCCACAACTTACAGGTACATGTACATGATTGTACGTTGAAGTTCATGTACATGTACATTTACTACAATTGATAGTATGCACTCTAACATGGGAGGTTCTCGAAGAAAAAAATGTGTGCCGAGTTTTGTTTTCTACTCTCTGTGCTGACTCAAATGCTACATACTAACATGCCTGTAGAAGTAAGGCATTCAACCCAAGTAGACTCGACCATACTTAGATCATGTGCCAATTCATCCTTTGTACAGCAGCAGCAGCAGCAGCAGCGCTACCACCAGTCATGAAGGAGCCCCTGATAACCCTAGCCATGCAGTACAAACGAGTCACTATGGTTTGCGAATCTCGTGTTGTTATCATAATTCACACACTCACACCCACCCGCACATGCAATGGAGACAGCATGCACATGTACACATACTTGTAAATGAGTGGTGTGTCAGTGTCTCAAAACAGTTGCAGGAACGTGTTAAATGTTGCCCAAGGAGTAATTATATGCACAGTGCCTGCGTGCTTTCTACAAAAGCAGCTGAACTTACGGACACAATCGGTTGGTGCAGTGGACCAGTTACCGTACTGCTGACATTGGACACGTCTCACTGTGTCCGTTGCAGCCGTGAATCGGAAATGGTAACCGGCATCGCACGTGAACAGCACTGTGTTGTTGAAGCTGTTGTTGGTCGGCAGTATCACCACACCGTTGGAGAGTGTAAACTGAGTTGCTGGACAGGTGACAACTGCAGGCAGGCAAACAGGTCAATGTGGAGCAAGCACAGTGGAGATTGCAGGATTGCTGTTAGGATCACCTACGAGCAGCAGGTCAGGCAGGGAGTACCGGTATTTTACTACTCCCTGATTCAGGTGCTTCTGCAGTAGGGTAGGGATCAAGATAGTTGCCATTCAGGTGCTTCTGCAGTATGGTAGGAATCAAGATAGTTGCCATTAGAGTTGTAAGTAGGTATGCTACAGAGTTAGGGGAAATTCTTTGCTGCATCACCATCCCTTGTCCCATTTAACTAGCCAACCATGCTATTCATTCATGGATCAACTAAACCCAACCGTCCACCCGCCAATCCATCCACTCATCCACCCACCCACCCATCTATCCGTCCATCCGTCCACCCACACACCCATCCATGGCATGCATCCACCTACTCACCCACCCGCCCACTCACCCACCCATCCACCCACCCACTCACCCATCCATCCACTCACCCACCCACTTGCCCACCCATCCAGCCACCCACTCACCCATCCACTCACCCATCCACCCACTCGCCCACCCATCCACCCACTCACCCACCCATCCACCCACTCACCCACCCATCCACTCACCTATCCACTCACCCACCCACCCACTCACCCACTCGTCCACCCATCCACTCACCCACTCACCCACCTATCCACTCACTCACCCACCCACCCACCCACTCACCCACTCGTCCACCCATCCACTCACCCACTCACCCACCTATCCACCCACTCACCCACCCACTCGCCCACCCATCCACCTACTCGCCCACCCATCCACCCACTCACCCACTCGCCCACCCATCCACTCACCCACCCATCCACTCACCCACCCACTCGCCCACCCATTTACTCACCCACCCACCCATCCACCCACCCACTTGCCCACCCATCCACTCACCACCCATCCACCCACTCACCCACCCACTCGCCCACCCATCCACCCACTCACCCACCCACTCGCCCACCCATCCACTCACCCACTCGCCCACCCATCCACTCACCCACCCACCCACTCGCCTACCATCCGCTCACCCACTCACCCACCCACTCACCCACCCATCGACCCACCCATCCACCCACTCACCCACCCACTCGCCCACCCATCCACTCACCCACCCACTCGCCCACCCATCCACTCACCCACCCACCCACTCGCCCACCATCCGCTCACCCACTCGCCCACCATCCGCTCACCCACTCACCCACCCACCCACCCACTCGCCCACCCATCGACCCACCCACTCACCCACCCATCCACTCGCCCATCCACTCGCCCATCCACTCACTCATCCATAGTATCCCGCATACATACCTGTACAAGAGGGAAGCGGTGCAGTCCAGGTGCCAGCTCCTGTGCAGAAGAGACTAGCAGTGGTGGCCGAGTAAGGACGACGCGTCACATGATATCCCGTGTCACACGTGTACACCACCGTCGTCTTGAAAGTGTTCTGCGTTGTGGACGCTAATCCATGGACAATCACGCCAGGTAGCAAGGGGCATGTGTTGGCTGTGAGGGTTATTGGAACAAAACAGAAACATCATATATCCTTAAAAGAAAGCCGCAAGATTGTGAAGTGATCACAGTGCCGAACCGGGAATGGAAGCAAACGTGTCAATCACCGCTGCCACCATCACCATCGCGAATGCACTCACTCGTGCACATACCGTACTTTGCCCGTTATAAATCGACCCCGGTTATAAGTTGACACCCAATACGTTGGGCCTCGGTTTACCGGTTCGATATCAATATGATTAACAGCGGTTATGTAAGTCGACTACCCTATTTCTAATTCCTTTTAGCTCTAAAACGTCGAGTTATAACCGGAAATAGTACAGTCAAAATACGATACATGTGCAAAATAATTTTGCCAACAAATTCAGAGAATCCAGCTAGCTGCCAAGCTACGACCAACACAAGCTACTTAGTATACACGTAGGTTAGTAGGTTCGTAGTTTGCAGCGCTGCAGGCAACTTACGCAAGCATGTTGGCGTTGTTCGGTCCCACGTGCCCTGTGCTAAGCAGGTGAGCAGGGATTGTGTTGAGCTGAGGTGATAGCCGTAGTTGCAGGTGATGCTCACTTGGCTTTGGTAGGTGAAGACTGCACCGACCACTCTGCCATGGAACACTGGGCCAGGATAGCCACAGTTCACCACTGCATGCAAACAGAACGGTTACAGAAGCACAGATATATTCCCAATGCACTCGCTTGCCCGCCAGCAAACCATGCTGTGTCACACGCATGACGCGGGATGCTGCATTGCTGCCTTGAATGGGGTTGACTGTGAAGCGGGCTGAACGTGCTGTCTCTGTAATAATGTTCTGTGCACTTGTTGTGCAAGAATATTCAATTTGGCTACTGTGCTACTGCACCAATGACATGTAGTGAGTGTGCAAGGTCTGATGATCTGATGTTGAAATGCCAGCATGTTCTCTGTTGTCATATGATCAAGTACTGCTATCTCATGTGTGTTTACAAGTGCAACTGGTGCTGCCCTTAATTCTGATCTATACCGACCTTGACATGTGGGAACAGGGGCACTCCACGTGGCATCCGACAAGCACATGATGGAGATGGAGGACTGGAGAGCCATGCCCGTTATCTGATAGCCCTGGTCGCATGTGTAGCGCACAATGGCGTTGATCGTGTACAGAGAGCCTATCTGCCGGCCATTGCTCGGAACTGGCCCGGGAACTCCACATGTTATCACTAGATGCAGGAATTAGCAGAGGACAAAGTCAAGGTTTAGATTTGGAACAAAAAAATGCAGCTGGAAACAGTGTGTACTACTTTATTTGAAAGCATTATAGAAGTACTTGCAAGTTGGGCGGTGAGGATGGTGTGTGAATGAAAATCTGGCCACTGCCTGACTGTCTTCACAGATCTGGTGAGTGCTGCTCATTATACTCTCTGAGTTCAAATAATTAGACCACCCAGAATTCAGTGATTGCTTTGGTTCACTCTACACCAATGCAAGCAGGGCCTGTCAGTCGGGGGCCCTTCTTTTTCCAAATTTGATCCAGCGAAAGAGGTATTCATGTCATGCTCTGCGCAACATAGCTCTACATTTAATGTAGAGCTATGTTGCGCAGAGCATGACATTTGTTGCTCTTCTCATGACCCAGCACTGTCAGAATTCCACCCAAATTCCGGCTATGCACGCAGAGGAGCGTGAAGAACTGGTTCCGCCAAGGCAACTCTCGCCGTGCAGTGACGTGATGGAGCCAGGCTTATTCATTCATTCAGACTTTGTTTGAAGGATTCTCCAAAAGTGAATGGATACTTATCAAGGGAGTGTCCTTGAAGATTAGATGGGATGAAAGGGGATTCTGATGCGAAGGATAAAAAAAACTCACAACTACACGTGGGGAACGGGAGTGTCCAAGTGCCGTCCGCGCCACAGTCCAGCTGTTGAGAAGCCATCCCCGCCGCTGCTGCACCGCTGATCTGGTAGTTCGGGTCACAGTTGAATGTGATCATGTTGTGCGGGTGATAGCTTGCCGCCAGTCCCTGGATCATGCCGTTCATGAGTGTTGCATTAGGAGCAGGGCAGGATACCACTGTAAGCAGGGAACAATACACGTATAGTAGAGGGGGACTGAGTGATGAGTGCAGCGAACTGGGTAACGAGTACATTGGACTGAGTCACGGGTGATGGCAACTCACGGAGCTGTTAGCTTCGTGATGTTTTTTATGGTAACCAAGCCTGCCATGCACACTCTACTGTTTCTCACGCAGTGTCGATCACGAAACCATGTAGCCCGTCATCATTCTGTCTCTATCCACCACCGTTCCCCCATAATGTCTTCCCAATCTCCCTGGTAACCCTAGTAGTGAATGGCGGGAAGAATGGATTTTTAAACTTCAAAGTAAGCTTTTTAAATATAGTGGCACCCGGCGTGGGGCTTGAACCCATGACCTTGAAGCGATCTACCTACAAACCTTCAAACTACTCCAGCGTAGTATGATGGGGTACTAGCTGTGCTAGTACTCATTAGCAACAATCCGAACTAGCGCACACACTGCACTGCATTGCTTTATACTGCATTCAAGACTGACGTCATGCGCTTTTTCTTTGCTGTGTAATCACAAATGGCACCCAGCCCGTTTTGCTGAAAAGAAAAATAAATCTTGCTTGCCCTGTTGTGCTCTTCCAAACAACGGATCGTGTTCAGGAGTGTTTCTTTTGATAACAGTACAATACGCGTACTTCAAAGTACAGTAAAACCTGGTTTAAGCGACCACCCCACTGTGCAAGCAAAAGCAGCCATTAAAGTCAGGTTGTCTTTAGAACCAGGTCCCACAGATTCTGTGTAGAACTGTCCGTGCATGGAAAAACGGTCGTTAAGAGCAGGTGGTCGCTAAACTCAGAGGTCGCTTACATCAGGTTTAACTGTATGTACATTGCACTCACCTGCACAAGCAAACGTAGCTGGGTAGGACCATGTACCGTTGGCTAAACACACCACCTCAATGGTGGCGATGCTCTGGTTTGTCTGTCCACCCACATAATAACCCATCATGCATTCGTAGCGGACAATGTCACCAAGCAGACCGGTAGTTTGTAGGTCACTGGCAAAACCGTTCGTCAAAGACGTTCGTATGTCCAGGGTTGAGCAGATTATTGATGGTGTTGTCACCGTCGCTTGGGCCATTGTTCCACTGCTTGCTGTTGTCACCATCCCTTGCGCCATTGTTCCACTGCTTGCTGTTGTTAGGCCAGCGGTAGTGGGGCCGACAGCGGATGATGTTCCCACAGTGCTCGAGATGGTGGCTTGTCGACTGCTTGACATCGTAGTTCCCACACTAGCTGGTGTCGTAATGCTTGACATCGTAGTTCCCACACCAGCTGGTGTTGTAATTCCTATTGGTGCACTTGATAGCATGGTACTAGCTGGTGTTGTGATTCCTATTGGTGCACTGGATGACATGGTAATGGTTGGTGGTGTGCCAATACTGGAGGATGTCGTCAATGCAGGTTGGTTTGTTGAGCTTTCAGCCATTGTGACCTTGGACGATGATGAAGTCACGCTAGCTGTGCTTGATGACGTTGCTGATGTAGCTGCACTGGTCTCCACACTCGTTCTACTGGTAGTTGTCAACACTGGAGAGATTGTGGATGACGCAGCCATCACAGACGATGATGTCACAGGTGATGATGTCGCTGATGATGTCCCTGGTGGTGATGTCACTAATGATGATGTCAATGGTGATGATGTTGCCGATGATGATGTCCCTGGCAGGGATACTGTTGATGATGTCATCGGTACCAATGAAGTGGCTCGGAATGACGATACTGGCAGTGATGTCGCTTTTGATGATGTCATGGGTGATGTCACTGTTGCTAGTGTCACAGCTGACGATGTTGTCTGCAATGACGATACTGGTAGTGATGTCCCTGACAACGGTGTTACCATGGATGGTGATGTTGCCTGCAATGACAATACGGGCAGTGATGTCTCTGACAACGATGTGGCCATGGTTGCCTGCAATGATGATACTGGCAGTGATGTCCCTGACAACGATGTTGCCATTGATGGTGTAGCAGTAGAAGGATTGGTAGAAGACACTGGTGATGTCATTGGTTGACTAGTTGCAGATGTGCTTAGTGTCACGGCTGTTGCTGATGTTGACGGTGTTGTAGTTGTACCAGCAGTACTTGCCTCTGTTGTTAGAGTCTGCATCGACCTTGTGCTACCAAGTTGCTGCAAGGTCGATGTTGACTGGGTTGTAGCGGGTGTCTCTATTGAAGTGGTGGCTGTTGTCGGCCCTGCAGTCAGTGCTATGGTGGGTGTTGTCACCTCACTCGATGGTGATGGTGATGAGGGACTGGTACTAGATGAAGATTTGCTGGATACTGCTGTCATTGGCATTGTCATTGGCCGTGTTGTCTGTGTTGCTGCTGCTGTTGAGGGAATCGTTGCCTTCGTGACTTCTACCGACTGGTGTGTGGTAGCCTGTATTACGGTCATTGTTGATGTCGTTCCTATTGGTTGCGGTGTGGTAGTTTGCCCAGTAGTTGATGCGGTACTGGTTGAAGTAGTGGTTGAAGTACTGGTTGAAGTACTGGTTGGCATGGCGGTGGGTGTGGTGGGTGGTTTGGTAGCCGGGGTGGTTGCGATCGTGGTGGTTGTGATCGGGGTGGTTGTGATCGGGGTGGTTGTTTGTGTGTTGGTCGATGTGGTGGTTGGGGTAGGGACTGGTGAGTTGGTAAAAAGAGTGGACGGCACCGTGGTTTGAGTAGTGGTTGAGGCAGTGTTGGGAGCGGTGGTTTGTGTGGTAGTTGGGGTGGTGGTTGGTGTAGTGGTTGGGATGGTAGTTGGTGTTGTAGGTGGGGTGGTGGTTGGTGTGGTGGTTGGTGTGGTGGTTGGTGTGGTGGTTGGAGTGGTGGTTGGGGTGGTGTTTGGTGTGGTGGTTGGTGTGGTGGTTGGTGTGGTGGTTGGTGTGGTGGTTGGTGTGGTGGTTGGGGTGGTGGTTGGGGTGGTGGTTGGTGTGGTGGTTGGCGTGGTAGTTGGGGTAGTGGTTGGCGTGGTGGTTGGCGTGGTGGTTGGTATGGTTGTAGCTGTAAAAACAGAACCAAGAAGCAGGTACTACGTAAATACTCAATGATGATCAGAAAGGCACGGACAGATCAGGCAGATTCTCATGTGCAAAGTTCAGATAAGATGACGTCAGTTTTAAGAATTCCCGAGGATCATTCCAATTGACTTCCAGATACCGTTCAGAGTACGATGAGTGTGTCAAATTGGTGAGAAATAACTCTACTAAACGTCATCGTTGCAAAACACACAATGTGTGCAGCTTCAAACACAACGTTCTGTATTGATAGCTTGACGTGCAAAACTGGGATGTGGCAAGCATTCTGATGACTGACCAAGGGCGTAGCTGATCCCCCTTTTAGCGGTGTGCATGGCCGCATATGTGTAGGATGGCAGGTGCCTGCCATGCATGGTCATTATGTGCATGCTGAACCGAGGTCGAAATTATTAGGGGAGGGGCGCACATGCCCCCCCCCCCACACACACACGCCTGCTCTCTGTCGTGGTATCAGGTGCTTACGTGGACATGTTGGCAAGGTGCAGGCCCTGTCCGAACTGCTGTCACCCAGAGCACACAGTGTTCCTGTCGGCGTGCAGCTACGCATCCTTGTTTGAACACCCATCTGAGCACACGTCGGCCCCGTGCAGCCTCCCCAAGAGTTCCAACTGCCCCACTGGCCTGGCGTCCAGCGCACGTCAGTGCTTTTGCTCGTCGTGCCCACAGAGTTGGACGCCGCACACGTGTAGGATTGGAAGTCCGATGCTACCAGGCTGGTGAAAGTGAGAGTTCCATCGGGCTGTGTTTGAACATGACCACCTGGCTGCAACTGACAAGCGCAGATCGACACCGGCATGTAGCAAAATATCACGTTACTATGGTTACAAGCTGCTCAATTAGAACCTATGTGTGACCTGATATTATTATATAATATGAGTTTCTGCTCGGATTCCGAAATCAATCTTGGCAAATTAAATTTTAGTCGGAAATAGTTCCAAACTTACCGCTAACGAGACTGACTTACCCCTATTACAGCTGTAGTTCCTTTCACTGCCCAAGTGATGAGTGGTTTGGGATAGGCATAGGCTCCGCACACCAGGCTGGCATTACCCCCGACTACACCATCAACAGACCCCGGCGGTGGAGCGTAGATGGTAGGTGAGGTATCTGTAGAGGAGGACAGGGCAGAGATAGGCCAGCATGGAGCATGATGCATCAGTGGTGCTGAGAATTTACAGAACTGGCTATTTGACTACTCTATGTGCATGCTTTATCTGGTGCATCGAGAGCGTGACGATGTCGAGACCAGTTGGTCGACAGAGCGCCTGGCGTGCACCACCAAGGCTGCTGCATGTTCCCGTTGTGTGCACATGGCTTTTAGTAAAAAAATAAAAAATAAAATGCCCAACAAAATGGAAACTTGGACATGTTCATGTTTGTTTGAAATACGTGCATGTGTTGCTATCCCATGTGCTATCCCATACACTTGCAAAAGACTGCAGTCAGTGCTCTGACCACCATGCCAGCACGGCCAGCTGACCAGCTGCTATGCGTGCACAGATAACGTTAAAAGAGGATGCAAGCAGTCAGCTGCATCATCTGAAGTGGTGCTGCTGAATTCACGACGGTCACTTTGCACCTGCATCATGTGCGCTCTTGCAGTAGTCGCTATGCACATTACACCATCTCGTGCAGATGTACGAATTCCCCGGCGTAGGTGTCTACATGCCAGGTTGGGTGTTCATTGTGTACTGCTATGCATGCGCATTTGACCAATTTAGCCCAGTACTTAGCGGCAGGCAGTCGCTTTTTCAGTTTCATCAGTTTGGATAGAACTAACAACTAGCTATTACTTCGTCCAAAAAAAGCTTTTGCATGAAATTCCTGAAGGGAACGTTTCGTAACCGAAAATACAGATAACGCAATAGGGTCCTGTACATTCAACACCCAACCGGGTCTACGGGATTCTACGGGATATCGTACGTGACGTCAGTGTGCATAAGCGTTATTGCCAATCGTGGGTTATTTTTGCTTCACCCCTGTTCAGATAATAAACCAATGAGCTGTGCAGACCTGTTACGCCAACGCCATGCAAACATGGCGGGTCCGAGGGTTTTCCCCGGCTGGTGATATTTTAAGGAATAGATGATACTGTGTTAGTGCACAGAGCACACACAGTGACTGCATGCTGTTCTTTGGCAGTGCAATCCAGCTACAGTAGCAAGTTCACAGGAGTGCTTGATTGACTCACCCTTGGTTGCAGTAATCCTGACGCACACGTGTGAAAAGAACACGTCTCCTGCCTGGCCCGGGACCACAGCGGACAGTGCGAATATCACTGAGGTTGCTTTATTCGGAATATTCCACGACATCTCCCTCCAAGAGCTGGCGTTCAGTGAGTAGTCTGGTGTTCTTCTCACGTTTAGATTATTGCTCGGCGTAAACGCCATATAGGCATTGTTGTTGTTGGAACTTCGTACACGAGCTCTGATGAACAACAACACAGAGGAGAGAATGGCTTGCACTGGTAAGTTGTAATGCATTTTGGAGTGAAAATTGAACAAATGTACTAGGAAAACTGATGAGGCATATACAAGTTTCCACCAGTAAAGGAATCTGAGAATATGTGAAGTATGTGCTCAGTAGGGCCTGCGGATTCCCGGACGCGTAGCCGGCAGTGCTTCCAGGTTGCCCGGAAACCCCCTCCGGTGTTGCAGCGCAGCCGCCGAAACCATTGAAAACTACAGTAAAACTCTCCTGAGTGCATGCAGTCACCGGAAGTACAAATGACAATGCGGTGCATGCAGCCCGCATGTGCACTTGAGTGAGGTGTGAAACTTCACCAGTGCTTCGTCTTTGATGTGAACAAACCACATTGACAGTAGTAGTGTAGGGCCACAGATTGGGCCTCTCATCAGTGACCTTGGGATTTGAAGATATCCTAAAGCTATTCACGGGGCCTCCTTATTGGTGTCGGGGTCCCAACGCATCGCAACACTCAACAGAATACTATCAGTTATAGTTACATTACATGATATCACTGAAACGGAAAGCCATCTCTGTCTCCAATCCAAAGCAACAACTTGCAGAGCAACCAAAGAACATCTAAAACTGAAAAGAAGAACCACATGGTTCAAAACCAATACACAACCCCGGCCCTTATCGCGTATGCCAGCAACACGTGCCAACTCAGTACCGAAGAAATAACTGGTGGTACACGCAAAACTGGTCAGTTGTTTTGGACAACATTGGATCATTGTACCTCAAGTAGATTAATTTAGCCTGGGTACAGAGGTATGGTAGCTCCGTGCAAAGCATGACCTATGTCTAAACACACTACACATCATAATATTGGTATCTTTTGGTGAATGCCAGTGGCGGATCCAGCCATCTCCACAGGGGGTTCCAGTATAGTCAAACTGAATACAGTAGCTGATACACGCACTGCCCTTCACGCTAGCAGGCTAGATCTGCAAACTCCCTTCTATGTTCGCAATCCCATACTCCTTGGAGTAGTCTGCACGGCGCTGCTGCTGCTGTTGTTGTTGTTGTTGTTGTTGTTGTTGTTGTTGTTGTTGTTGTTGTTGTTGTTGTTGTTGTTGTTGTTGTTGCTGTTGTTGTTGTTGTTGTTGTAGTCGTCGTCGTCGTTGTTGTAGTCGTCGTCGTCGTTGTTGTTGCTGCTGCTGCTGCTGCTACAGCAGCTACTGCCGTGGCTGTAGTTACAGTCCCTCTCATTGTCAGGAAATGTTTGCTTTTGCTACTCTTCATCCAGTTAAATTCTTATTATGACTTTGTGTGTTATAATTTTCTTGAGCTCCGGTTTTCTCCCTTTATTAAAACGCAAGCGCAGTTTAGCGTGTATTGGCTTGTGATTTCCTTTCTTCTGTTTGCTTTAGCATTTTATCGCTCCACAGGTACCCTCGGTCTCAGGTACTCTCATATTTGTGCAACTGTTAATTTCGCTCCTGAATTGTCCTCCCTTTTGCTTTGCTACCGTCCTCCTCCTTCCTCCGCCCTTTTTCTTAATTAACCTCATTATCACATTCGCTTCCATGTAATTGGGCTTGTAGCCCGTGTGTACTTGCGAATTCAAATAAAAACATACATACACATACATGTACATGGACACGCATATGGTTGCCAGCAGTACATTTACGAAATTTAGGGGGTTCTGCGGAACCCCTGGAACCCCTCCTGGATCCGCCCCTGAATGCAGATTTCACCTCACATCAAGTTCTCCAAAGCTGGCAGCATACCTGAGGAATATTTTATCATGGCTGTCTGGCAGTTGTATCGTTTGTTGAATGTTCGGCCGTGCTGCAGCACTGAATGGACCCTGTGCAAGAAATCCAGTTACACCTATAACAGACAAGGCATAGAAAGGTCGAGGACGTGGATTTCAAACAGGTTCCAGAAAATATTTTGAGGATATGAACACTTTGTAGTCAAATCTTTGCCTCATGTGAGCGTGCAGTTTTGGTAGACGGGAAAAAGAAAAGCATCATAACTATTATTCATTCATTGAAGATTACGTCTGACTTCCCTCGTATCAGGGTCATCAGATCAAGCCTTTTATGGAGTTGAATTTGGAAATGATTGTATAGGTACATTGTAACTTTGCATTCGTGGCATGTTCGGAATTTAGCAAGGTGGTAACTTTACGACTCATATGCCGCAAACAAACTCGGTCCCAGTATTATGAAAAATGATTCCCTTCCCCCTCCCCCCTTCCCGCCTCAGATTTTAGGAAAAAAGATGATCGTCAGTCACTCCACCCTCCACAGTGCGCTTTCAGCTGACCAGATTAGTTGGATGCAAATATCTCTTTGAAGATGCTCATTGGATCTGTTCGGCTTGGTTTAAACGATGAAGATCGCCCGCTGAAATCCCTGCTTGAAGTTTCGATCATATAATTATGATCTAAAGTTGTGCAATTGTCCATAAAAAGTTAAACTCAATGTTTCCGTGTGTACGGATGAAAAAAACATGCTGCCAAGATAATTATGTAGATTTTTGTATTCATAACAGTTACTTAGGCAATGTAATTACGACACTTTCAGTCCGGCAATCAAAGTCACATCAAGTCAGTGCTCAGTTCAATAGGAACCGTGCGATGTGAGAACGCATAAATATACCTGTCATCGGGTCAGAGTATGCTGAGAAACCTCCACTGGACTGCCAGGCAAAGAGTCCAAATGCCAAGTCGGGGTTCACCAGCCAGTTTGACTCATTTGTACAGCTCCCTACAGTGAACACAAACACAACATGCAAAAGAACTCAGATGGCAAGTTGGAAGGCCGTTGGTTAGCGCTATCGGGCAGTGCTCAAGCAGACTTTCATGCCGTGGAATGTCTCACTACTCTTTGTCAGTTTTGTGCTAGATTGTTCACATCCGACTGTTCGAAATCTGGTTTAGTTGGTGGACTCGATCGCATAACTTCTGCCCACACATTTTTTCCATGTTACAATGAAAATGCAAAGGTGTTCACACCCATTCACATGCACATACACACACACGTACACACACACACACACACACACACACACACACACACACACACACATGCAATGTAGACGTATGCACACTCGCACTGATGTACCCCTCCTCCACAATCTACTTACCCCCCCCCCCCCCCTCCCACCCACACATACACATAGCATTGTGCTTTGAATGCATCAATAGAAAGTAATTTAACTCGGCGCTGGTCAAAAAGCCTCTAGTAGTGGCTCATTGAGGACATAAAAAGAATGATCATAATCAGCAGCTTAATACAGCCGAGAGTGGAAGCCATTTTGTGTGAGAGCGCAGGGTCGATTCTAAGCATACGTCAAAGTCTCTATTGTTAGTGGCTCTTTAGTGAATTGAAATAAAGATGAACACAACCAACTCACCGACCACCGTTATCGTGAACGTTTTCCTAATGGTTACACTGGTGCTGCTTTCAATGCACGAGAGACTGTACGTGCCCGTTGGTCGTGAAGAGGTCAGGAACACCAGCAGTGCCGTGTTGTTACCGGACAATGACTGTGTAACCAGAGGTGGTGTGGTCAACTGGGACGTATCCCAGAAAACTGTGCCATACTTGCCGTCAGGCACGGAGCACTGCAGTGTCACCGACTGGCCTTGAACCACGTCAATAACGGATGGACTGTTGCTCTCCAGTTTGGGATTGTCTGCAACAACAGCATATCGTACACAGGAAGTGTTCTCCACGATTGGTGAATCATATGCATGAAGATAAAAATGTGGCCTGACAGGTATTCCTGTGTGTGTGTGTGTGTGTGTGTGTGTGTGTGTGTGTGTGTGTGTGTGTGTGTGTGTGTGTGTATGTGTGTGGTGTGTGGTGTGTGTGTGTGTGTGTGTGTGTGTGTGTGTGTGTGTGTGTGTGTGTGTGTGTGTGTGTGTCCCATGTGTGTCCCATATGGTGCAGTGGTATGTGCAGCGATTTCCAATCGATAGATTGCGGGTTTGATTCCCGACGATTATGGTCACACACGTCTTTCTTCTCTTTCTCAGACTCCTCCTGTCTTTCTTTCATTCTCCTGGGTGGTTACCAACAGCCAGTGCATGCCGGAGTATGTGGTGTGATGTGTGTGCGGGAAAAAATCGAAAAAGACCAAAAAGTAGGGATTCACTGGCCAGAAAAAGCCACTTCATAGCTGTGTGGTGTAGACCAGGCTGAATAGTGGCGGTCAATTCTTCAGCCTTGCAAGCTGTTGAATGGTGCGCTGCTATGGCTTCTGCGGTAGCATCGCTATCATCGCCTCTGGCGATGGGCGTCCAATGGTCCAATGGTGTGTGTCCCATATGGTGCAGTGGTATGTGCAGCGGTTTCCAATCGATAGGTTCCAGGTTCGATTCCCGACGATTATGGTCACACACGTCTTCTCTTTCTCAGACTCCTCCTGACTTATATTTCATTCTCCTGGGTGGTTACCAACATCCAGCGCATGCCAGAGTATGTGGTGTGATGTGTGTGTGGGAAAAATAATGAAAAAAAGTTCAAAAAGTAGGGATTCACTGGCCAAAAAAGCCACTTCATAGCTGTGTGGTGTAGACCAGGCTGAATAGTGGTGGTCAATTCTTCAGCCTTGCAAGCTGTTGAATGGTGCAATCCCAGCACAAGTTGCTATGGCTTCTGCTGTAGCATCGCTATCATCGCCTCTGGCGATGGGCGTCAAATGGTCAAATGGCGTGTGTGTGTGTATGTATGTATGTATGTATGTATGAGTACATGGTTGATATCAGCTTTCTGGAACCATCAGAGGAGCACGGTGAAGCCCAGTCCAGCAGCGCATGCACCAATGTATACTGACACACTGTATTATGTAGAAGTACATTGAATAATTTAAACAAACGGCAAGGAGACAATAATTTGATAACCGCAATCAATAAGACAAGCTGAATCGACATTTGTGCATACTTTATTCATGCAATGTAAAACGGCGGTCTCTCTTATTGATTGCGGTTACATTGAATCAGTGAATGAATGCTGCTACAGCGTGTATGCTAATC